TTCTTTGCCGATGGCACATCTAAGCTCCCCTTCTTTCCTCGCCGAGGTGGTTTTCCCCAAACAAATCTTTTCCTCTTTTGTGCCACAGAAGGAAGACAAGGCCCAGATATCCTCACTTTCTTTAAACCCTCTGGGCAGTAAAGCTGGACTAGCTGTAGCCAGCAGTAGTCTGGTTAACAATTTATATACAGACGCACATGCACACATACAGTCTTCTGTGCACGTCATTCCCCATCGATCATCCATTCTCTCCCCTCCATCTCCTCCCTTTCACGAGCCATTCCAGAGCCCTCACTACTCCTCATCCAGTATCCTACTTCCTACTTCTCCCTTTTCTCTCTTTCAGTTAGAATTTACAGCCACCTCCGCCCATGCCTCCCCCATTCAAACCGTCATACCCCAGTACTCCCCACTCAGCCCCACCCTTCCCTTGGCCTCTGATCCCCTTTGGCCCACCCTGGTTCCTTTTCCACCTTCTGCTGCTCCTCGGTACCCCTCCCTCCTGCCATCGTCTTCCCAGCCTGCAGAGCGAAGGCTTTCAGAAACTGCTCACATGCCAGTGTCTGTGTTGTCATTTCTGTCCTCGAATCTTCAAAAGAACTTTGAGGACTCAACGGTTGACACAGCATCTTTGTGTTCATTTCCTCTCTTTTCTAAAGCCCCAGCTGAATCTCAGTCTCCTTTTGTTGATAGTGCACTGCACCCTGAATACCACTCTGCAGAAAAGTCCTCTAGTGGTTTATCTAAAGCTAACAGAAATGAAGTGCCCTCCACTGTGCACAACCTGTCCCCTGATACTCGATCACATACATTAACCCATGCAGAAGATTTTTCAGATAACTCCTTTAGTCACACTAACCCAACTCCCTCAAGATTATCTGTGGAGGCTCTGGTATCCAGTCCTGCAGCACTTGTGCCGGACTTTGGTCCAGCCCTGTCACAATTAGAGTTTCCTGTATCAGAGCTAAATTTGTCAGTGGTTTTGTGGCCATCCTCAGATGCAGCTAGCCTGTCAGTCAGACCTTTTTTAGTTCATTCTCATCAGAAAGATTTGAGCGAGATAGAAACTCGTTCAGTGCTTCACACTGACACTGGCTTGACCTCGCTGCCAACAGCTGGTATTTGGGGCCATGATCACACTCTGGCTCTGCTCAGGGCAAATATTGAAGGAAAGCAAGAACCGCCCTCTTCCTCTGCCTCTTCTACATCATCTTCCAATTTCTTCCTTTTAACTCAAAGCTCTCACATCCCTTCATTTACCGACTCCGTCAGGGAGACAGAGGGGATGATGGGAGAGGAAACCGTTCTGACTCAGAAATCTTTGTCTGGGTCACAAGAGAGAGATTCTTACAGCCCGACTGTTAACAGAGATCCTTGGAGGCTGCATCATGCAGTCTCACATTTACACAACCAGGGAGAAGCGAATGGAGCTGCTGGCACTCGGACCAACTCGCAGGCCCCTGCTGGCTATGACAGTGGATTTAGTCTCTCCACTCCGCCTTTGTTGAATCCGTCCCAGATGCTGGCACACCGCGACAGCTCAAGTGCACAGCTTGGTGTGACAGCCCCCCGGCACGCTCCGGGGATGGCTCTAGCACACGTCTCAGGCCTGACACGAGCTAATACTGTACAACCTGGCCGTCTGATCCAGACACACATTTCAGCACACACACAGCTGCCCACACACTCTAACAGTCAGGCACACACTCAGAACTTTAGGAGTGATGGGCTCAATTTGAGCGAGGGGGCTAACACCAGGGGGCCACGGCAGCAATCTCCAATCTTGAGTTTCTTCACACCCTCGCTTCCTGTCCTTTTGCCCTCCATGTCATCTTCTGTTTCTCTCGTAGAAAGTGTTTCACTTCTTCTTCCATCTCAGCACCTGTCTTACACCTATCCTCCTGTCTCACCCTCTGTCTCCACCCTTTCATCCTCCTTTCTCCTCCCCAGCCGGGCGACATGGCCAGCAGCACCTGCTAGCATGATGAACACAGAAATTGGGTCCTTGTCACCCACTCGTCCTACTGTTAGATTCCTGCAGCCCACAGCAGCACAGTCCTTACAAAGACCCACCATACAGCCAGTTGAGGAGTTTATCTCAAACACTCAATCTCTTTCTTTTGGTCAAGTTTCCATGGAGTCCATCCAGTCACGCCTGCTTATTTCTCCTAACCAGGATGAGGTTTTATCACAGTTTACAAACCACTCTCAGCCACAAAATGAGTCTACGTTAGTCGGCGTTTTGATATCTGAGGCCTCAAATAAGCAAACTGCTGGTGGGAGATTATCACATCTCTCTGCTCCATTTAACCCTGCAGATGTTGTTCCAAAGATACACTTTGCTAATGAGCATGTCTCACCTGTGAGCAACAAAGCTCCTGTAATCTTAAGCGCTGTAACAGGCCATCACCCTAATGAGCATGTAACTCCACAATCTGCCCTGAATTCTCTCTCATCTCCTGTTGATATGCAGAATACTCCCTGTCCTATTTCTGAATCCTGTTATCAGCCTGGTTCTGCTACATCATCACAACCGAATGTTGCTCTGGTTCTTCCAACCCCCCTGCAGTCTTCTGACCTTAATACCCCCTCTTCCACCTCCAGATCCCCCACTGGCTTCTCTATCGAGATCACAAATCATGGCTTCATTTCTGGGCTTGATGAGCTCTCACCTCCTGGGAGAGACAACCACACCACAAACACAGCAGGCTTTAAATATATACCTGAGTCTAATTCAACCAGTGCTGTGGCACTCCGAGACTCTCCTGTGGCGCCGGCTGCGATGACCAACATCACAGCAGCTAAAGATGCTAGTGCACTCGTAGAAAAAGGAAGTCTGGATGTGTCGGAGGGCAGTATGACAGGCAGCAGGCCAGTGCCGGTGCTCGTGAATGCAGCAGCAGCAGCAAAGTCAAATTTAACCGCCTCAGAGCCAGGTTTGAACTCAAGTCCAAATGTGTCGAATCACAGCAGGAACCAGAGCTCAGGAGGTTTAATGAAGGGGGACGTGAACCAAGACCACGGCACTGGCAAGATCAAAGACAACAATCTCAACTTTTCCCCAACGCCTCCAGCAGCTGCCAGTGGTTGGCATCTCATAACCCCAAAGATCTCCTCTCCTACACCTCCATTCAGAGCTCTCAGTCCATCAGCTAACGCCGGCAGCAGCAGCGGCCTCAAAAAAGCCACGTTGCACCCCAGTCTGGGATCCCCAACAGCAAATCCATCCATCAGGCCCACAATGCCCTGCCGGTGTAAACAACGCTTTCTTTTTACATGTCAGTGTGGACTGCCATCGGGGAATAGTATGTTATGCAGCAACAACTTTGTTGTCATAGAAAATAAAAATAAATAATCAGTAATATTACAAAATTGCAAAAATACAGTATTTAGTCTTCAAGTCTTTTAAAGGATCTGAATCAGAACGTTTTGATTTGAGCAGCATTACAAATGCATACGGACACCTGTGTCCGTATTATTAAGTGTTTTTGTGGTGTTTCCACCTCACAGTGTTCCCATAACCAACTCCATTCAACCAGCCCTCTTTGGTTCTGAAGAACATTACTGGTCCCCATTCAACTTCCTCCCTAATCTGAGGTGACAGTGATTCAGACCTTACCGCCTGATATCATTGTTGGCCCAAAGAAACCAAGCTCTGGCTGCCAGTAACGGATAATCTTATAATAGAATAATCTGAATAATCTCAGAATGACATGTTCAGCTGTTGTACAGTCAGTTATGGGTCAGTCTTGGTTTAAAAACACAAAGACTTTAAGACTGAATACTCACTTCAGGTGGTTGGGTGTCAGAGCAGGTCAGTAGTTCGAATCATAGATGTCAGTACAAATGCTGTGATTGGGCGGGATTCCCATCAAAGTTGAGACTCGTGATTGGTTTAAAGTGATTCTGGCTCATTGTAGTTCATTAACCATGAGTTTAGCTGACCAATCAGATGTTGGTATTTAGCCTGGTACTTGTAGTGAAAAAAGGGATTGTAGTCTACTTTCTGCCTGTTTTCCTTTCCTTTCTGATAACTTCCAACACCTTTTCTTATTACATAGTTTTTCTGCTTTTCTTATATTCGTTTTTCAGTCCATGCAGCTTCTTGGTGGAGGCATCCTGCTTTGGTGCTTCTCATCGTCCGCATGCTACTTTCTGCTATCAAATCAAATATTCAAAATCAATCAGCAGCACTCTGAAACTCTGAAAAGTATATTTATAACCAAAGATAAGCAGCCTGCAGGATTTCCCTCCAGACCTGATGGAGTGGAGGTCTCATTTCCAGTCAGTAGCATTTACTAACAATTAGAGATATTAGAGAGACATCTCGTGGCCGGTGTCAAGCATAGCAGGAGCATGGAGGGCCCTACAAGGAAGAGCTTAGATGTGCCTCCTCTGAAACTGAAAGTATGCGTTAAAAAGTTTTTTTTTTCTTTTTTCCCTTTTTTTATAAGCTTTAATCAGTTTTGATTCCATTAGTCGTTACTTTCTACACGTATCTGTTTTTAAGGAAATCAATACACACACAAAAACTCAGTTAAATGAGTCTGTGTAACAAGAAATTAATTTTACAGGAAGTTTCAGACCCCAAAACTCTTTAACATTTACATTTCTCCACAGATCTTTAATGTACCTGCTTCATAATTGTGCTCTTTATTCCTTTTTAAGGTGGATTTGTGAGAACGCAGATCAAAGGGTCAAACAATCCTGAGAAAGACTCAAATTGCACAAATCCTGCTTCAACTCTTTGATTTGTGCAGTTTGAAAAAAGAAAGGGGAATGACTGTTCTCCCCTCAGCGCCGACGTTATTGTCTGTCAGGCGGTGTGTTCCCATTTTTCATCATTTTACTTCAAAATGAGATTTTTACATAACTCGATCAGCTCAAACCGCTCGGGCCGTCTCCTGCTATGTGCCACAGGCTCGGTATGAATTAGCTGTTGCACATCGAATCTGAAGTGCTCTTCTTTCTTTCTCCTGTGCTCTCACCTTGGTCTGCAGATGAGCAGTTTTACCGATTCGAGTTTGTGGTGGATGACAGCAGATCACAGACGACACGGGAGACGCTTAAATCAGCTGTGGCTCTTTGGGTGAGTTTTTACTCCACTTATTCATCCATGTCCAGACCTCAGTGAGCGTAACCGTGGCAGCAGCGACAGACCTCATTAGATTTTCTTTCATAATTTTAATTAGTTGAAGCTCTGAGCAGCTTAACTTTATCAAACGTAGAAATATACTAAAATATGATTTTCAATACAAAGTCAAAAAACTGTGTAAAATGTATTTTATTCAAAACATAACACAGAAAAAACCTAAAATTTCAGAACCGCTTCCAGTTATTATCTTCTTAAATGAAACAAAAGGAAGTCTCAGTACAACATAGTTTACTGTCTGATGTCTGTGGCAGCAGCCCTGCACTGGCAGTGATGGTTTTACTGGTTACTCTGGTTGACTGGCATAGTGGTGGTGTAGCTACAGCAGCTAGCAGAAAGTCTATGATGCTGCAGATAAAAATGAAACAACAAAAAGTGTCAGAATATCTAAAATACAAAAAGATCAAGTGTGCAATTACTCTCACTGCCAGGAGGGGGAGACAAAACAGCCACACTACATGAGTTCAGTAAAACACTGGCACAGAATTATTGAACAGAACTCAAACTTCATCTCCAGGTCTATGATAAACAAGATTAAAGTCATATTTTATTTAATAAGACTGAATTAAGATAACACGGGAGTGAAAAAAATCTCTGAGCTGCTGAACTTAAAGAAATGAAGATTAGGAGAATACAGAGGTCGGGAGCAAGACTCACCTTTACCTGAACAAGCGATGACTTAGATTTGTTGGAACAGTTTTTACTCATGAAGCAGGTACATAAAGTTTCTTCTTCACACCAATGCGGCAGTTTAATATTCAGTGCTGAGCAGACTTCAAACCCGATCTGTTATTTTTACAGCTCAATCAGACCTTTCAGGACTGGATCCACAAAGTCTACGTGGGCAACATCAGGTAATCCTGCAAACAGCTATCACACAAAGTGCACACGACCTAGGGCAAAGGTGCTTTTGTATGGGTGATGCTGTTTGGGTCTGTGCTCGTCTTCAGCCATTTCACAATAGCTAAAAAGATGAGCTACACCAAGGAGAGAAAAAAGAAATGGTTAGAAACAGTTAGACCTGTGAGAGCGACAGGTCACGCCAGGATGAAGTTTACTGTCCTGCTCCTGTGAGCACGAGTGCAGATGTGTGAGGTGTTTGAAGCTGAGCAGTAAGGCTCTGCACTCCTGGGTCATATTTTGAGGTGAACAGTAAAAGTCTGACTTATGTGCTTCCTCCTGGCTGCAGGTACTTTACTGTGTTCGTGCAGCATTTATCATTTGTAGTCTTTCATCTCTGCTGCTTCTCTTCTTTTCCCTCTCCAGTGTTCAGCTGAGTCCACAGACTGCAGGAAACCTGAGCAGGTAGCATGACTCTGTTTAACTCTGCAGGTTCCTGTCATTATGTGCTCACCAGCTCATAGAAGTCAGGTGTTTAGGATGGTAGGTCATTCTGGCATGTCTCTTTTTGCTGCAGCTATGAGTGCCGTGGTCTGCTGGTTTATACCGAGATCATCAACAAGAACCTGAGCCTCATCGATGATGCGTCTGCCCGGCTCAGACAGGGGAGCGTGTCAGAGGGTGTGGAGATCCAGAGCGCCTCTGTGGAAGTCAAACAGATTGGTGAGAAGGTTACACTGAACGCTAAACACAGAAAAACAAGAACCGGAGATAATAAAGAAGTATGGTTTCTGCACATCACTCACACAACTCTCTGGATTTGATTTGTTGTGGATTTTATTGTCTAAAGTCTGTCTGTTCGCCTTCTCTGATCACTCTGTGCCCTGGATGTTTTTCCTGTTTCATTATATGAATGTATGTCTGCTTCAAAACTGTGAAATCACTCCTGCTTTTTTCTGCTTAAAGAAAATTGCCCGTACGACCCGCCTTGGCCTGAAACCAGACCGACCGTTACTGAGTACCAGCCCTGCTTCCCCAACAAGAAATGGAGGACCTGGTAACACGAACACAGACAAAACATGAGCTGAATGCAGCCAAACACGAATATTTGATTGCAATATTTCCAGCTCCATATTCTTATTTTCCACTTGACAATAATCCTTCATCATCCTTGCAACTAGCACATTTGCACAGGTTCAAGGCAAATATTAGGATTTGCACTTATATTCACGAACTATTATTTATTTCATATCCATCTTTTGTAGGCACTTTGTTCTCATGATCATTGTGAGGTTTTCGTGTTTCTGGGGAGAGTCATTAATCAAGACTGCATGATATATCCCAGAATGTATTTTAAGAACCTCCACTGTGATAAAATCAGCAGTAAAAGCAGCTCATATCTTTTCTTTGTTAGAGTCTGTGGTTTTAATCAGATCTTTCTGAGACACTGTGGTGTTCAGTGAAACAGCATTTGATGTTGATTTATTGACTTAATTCATCTTCCTGTAATGTTATACACCTCATGGTGATCTATGATTTATTAGTACGACAAGCAGGACATCTTCAGACGCCCACGAGTGCCTCAGCATAAATTCTCAAAGGTGGTCCTTAGTGGGGTTAACTGTGGAGTCAGTGGGGCTAAAGTTCTGGTTATTCTTCTCCTTTTATCACACGTTTCCACAGCAGCATTTCTGTTGAGCAGACTCAATGATAAAGTCTGAACGAAGCAGTCGGACCTTTGAAGAGCGCTGCTGCACACGTACTCCGGACCGCAAACACCAGGGCTAAAATCCCATTTGAACCCTTTAAATGTTACTTCACCATCTTAAAACAGGAAGTAGGCGATGTTATTGTCATAGAGTTAGTGTAGGGAGGAGGTCGGGGCGGATGGGTGGGCTGATAAAGTCAGGGAGTGCTATAACTACCTTTACTGCATGTTGAACTGTGTGTTTGGAGCGACCAGGATTGGGTTTGTTAAGCTGTTGAATATTTAAGCACTTCCTCCACATTCCTCCAAAAAACCTGCCTGCAGCAGTGCCGGCTCACTTACTTAGGACTACTTCTTTAAGCTGAGTAATTATATGTCTTATCGATAACCTCTTCTTTTCCCAGTTTAATCAGTTCGATGAACTACTCATCGTACTGGTCAGATCCAGACGGCAGCAACTGCACTGATATCGACTCCATCCAAGTGTCAGCAGGTACGCTCAGACACAAAGTCAATCTGACAGCGGACTGTAGACGTGGCGTGCCGACAGCGTTGATTCTAACAATGCATCATTTGCTTTGTGTGTAAAAAAACATAGACAGCTGAATATCTGAGTTGTTTTATTTTTGCATGAATAAAAAAGCAAATACATGATTTTAAATTATTTTATTCCAACTGCCGCAGTTCAGAATAAAAGTATTAACAACAAAGTTAAAGAGTCTGAGACCACAGCGTAGTACAGATTTAAAAATGTTCTTTTCCAGTGTGGGAACATTTTCTTCACTCTTTGTGCGTTTCAGATAATAAGCTGGGTCACATTTTTACAATATTTTCTGCTCGTCCGTTTCTGATTTGCCCCAAAATGGTATGGTTTGAAATATGTAGCATATATGATTTCTGCAAATAATTCGCTTCATATATCAAATACTTATTTACCTATTCTTTTTGACATACGGTCTCTGAGCATAATTGAGCATGTTTTTTCACACCTGTTTGAATATAAATATCTCACAATGAACTATGAAAGATAAAAGCTTTTCTTCCAATAACATTTAATCAGGATCCATAATCTTCAAAATCAAACATGCAGAATTAATTTAACATAAATTCACAAATATAAAGAAATATTCATTCACTTTTAAAGCTGCTGTGAGTAAATCTGACATTTGTAAAAGAAAAACAAAAATATTAAGATGATCTGTATGAAACTCTAATTTTCACTTATTTTTGACAAATAGATATAGATTTTTGTTCAGTTTCAAGACTTTATACATTAAACTATTTTAAACCTGAATTATAAGTCGATAGACTAGAAATGACACAGAACTGGAAAATGAACCTGAATTTGTGTTTTAATCTGTGATATATCACAAAGTTGTGATAGAAAGTGACAAAATGGAACCATTTGTGTGTTGCTTGAGCAGAAAATGCATCTGATGTAGCGGAGCAGCTCAAAGCGTTCACCAACAACAAGCTGAATGAGAAAGAGGTGAGTGTTTACACTGGCATCTGTTCGCTCAAGCCTCCTGTGACCAGGAGAGTGACTCCGTGTCCTCCTGTCCTCCTTGTCCTCCGTGTCCAGGTGTCTAAAGTGGTGTCAAAGGTGGAACAACTAGTGAATGTATCCAAGATCAACTTCACGTTAGCCTCCAGCATCGTCACCATCATCTCCAACGTCATGAGTGGCTCAGCTACAGTCCCGGCAGCCTCAGACAAGTACAGACTTCTTACTCTGCCCACCTGATATTAAAGTCCTGTTTGTGGCACATTAGTATATGTGAGGGGGGCAAACTCCTCAAGATGGGTGGTGACCATGGTGGCCATTTAGAAGTCGGCCATCTTGGATACAACTTTTGTTTTTAAAGTAGGAAGAGGGCCATGTGACACATCAAACTTATTGGTAATGTCACAATTTAGACCGACTCAGACTGGTTGTTATGTGATGGTTGATCTGCTAAAATCTTAATTTTGTAACCAAAACATCTGAAAAATGTAAAGTTATCACTCACACACCACCAGAAAGTACGACCTTCTGCAAATGTCACCAGGTCTGTGAAAATTAGCAGTTAGCAAAGAAACTTTGAAGCATCAGGATGACGATAAACTGAGAATAAGGTGGAGAGTCTGCTATCAGTTTGGATCGTCAGTTTCTGATAATTTAATGATTAACTGGAATAAATCGGTGAAAACTGCAAATCATTTGCTGTCTCCATACAAAGTTTTTCACTTTAAACTGAAATTTACATTAAGCATTTAAATTCAGAGTCCAGCAGCTTCTGAAAGTAGGAGATTTAACTGCTCTGTGACAGCAGCGGATGAGTACCTAACATTTGCATAGGAATAAAACTTGAGTTTAGCCTCCTATTGCAGCGAGTTTCACCATAGACAGGTTGTACTGGTTGTGCAGACCGACTCAGACTGGTTGTTATGTGATGGTTTTGTGTGTATTTATTAATCACATGAACATTATTTGCAAAGCTTCACCAACCTATCTGAGAAACCGCAGCAGTTTGGACATAGGCCGCCTTCCACCAAAAGTTCACTCGGAGATTGCAGAGCGCTCCATGCTCAACCTCTGGGCAACCAGCTGATGCTACAACTACTTACAGTTGACCTCCAACAGCAAAACAGTTCAGCATGATCACCGGAACCGACAGGTTGCCCTCAGTTGCGCGGAGGCCGTGTCCCATTTCTACGATAGCAATCAGCTAGCATGTAGTCAGAGTGTTGAAACTTTCTGCCGCTTAATGAACTCTCAGCCACAAAGTTTGCTGGCAGGACGGAAAGTTCAGTATTAAACGGAAACTTAAACGAGACTCACATGTTTGAGTCTGTTTCACATGAATCACCTTCAAACATGATCATTTTCAGCTGCGTTTCAGTCAGCCGTGTTAAACGCCACCTCTGTGTTTCTCACCAATATCTGTCTGGTTTTGCTTCCCTTTGAAATCATCGTAGAAATACTTTGCTTCTCTCTCCTCCTCCGCAGAGCTCTGAAGACCGTGGACGAGCTGGTGCAGAAGATCCAGTTTGATGGTCCGTCCATCCAGATCAATTCCAAGAATCTGGCTGTGGGAATTCTGGCCCTCAACACGACGATGTTCAACGAAACGACCCTCAGCGCCTTCATGTCTCCAAATAAGTCTGACCCACAGGTAACGGCTGGGAAAGTCAAAACTTTCTCCTGTAGAAGGTGGATTTGTGTTTTTTGATTTAGCTTTGACTGTTTCCTGTCCCCTCTCAGATTGATTTTAAGTCTAAGCGGCCGAATCCTTTAGCTCAGGTCACACTTCCCGCCTCTCTGCTGTCCAGAGTCTCTCATGCCGAAGCCGACACACCGTCCAGGATCAGCTTCATGTTCTTCAACAGCCCCAGTTTTTTCCAGGTCAGAGGTCACGGTGTGACGTTCACACAAAGACTGATGTTTTAGGGTGTCTTAACATGACGTGTTTTTCAGAAAAAGGCAGAAAATGAATTGATCAGCTACGTGGTGGCGAGCAGCGTGGTGAACGTCCCCATCCACAACCTGAGAGACCCAGTGAGGATCGAGATCGCTCATCGCTCTGACCCGGTGAGTGTTCACGTTTTTTCCTTTCTTCTCTGTTCCATTTTTGGACTTTATACACATTATTTATATATTTGCGTCACTCTTTTCACTTCCTTTCTTTGACCTGTGCTTTATTGTGTTGTCTGTTTCATATAAATGACCTTTATGTTTCTCATGTTCCCCTTTTTCTGAGGTTAATTAATACATTTATTAACATTAATAATCCATATTATTGAAACTGTCAGTAAGAATGTAGTTCCTGGAGATGTGCTGAAGGATTTGAAATGACAGTGTCAGAAGATCATGCAGAAATGAGCCAGGTGTGATGGTCACGAGTGGCTCTGAGTGTCTGCTTACTTGAACTTGCTGCTGAGTCATTGCTCTTCTGTCCTCTCAGGCTCGTGGGACTCTGGACTGCGTTTTCTGGAACTTCACCAAGAACGGTAAGTCTGTCCGTCGCCTCATCACTCACCTCAAGTTCATCACTGGTCCTCAGATCTGCAGAGAAGGGAGTCGGCAGCTGTTACAGCTCGTCACACCTCCGTCCTGCTGCACTTTTACTTTGATGTTTTGGTCTGGTTGCTCTTTCAGCAGAAAATTCTGGTAAATTTAGCAGCTTTTCAGGCCGTATTACCAACAGATTCAAGTACTGCAGTAATTACTGAAGAGGACGTTTGTGCGCAGTCTTATCTCAGTACAGATATTTGGCTTCGGAGCAGCCGCCCTCAAACTTTGCAGAAATATTTCGAGCTCCTGAATCCCGAGCAGTGCTTTATTCATTATAAAAAAAAAACATTTAATATATTATATTTTATTATTAGAAAGATTCAATCTTTTCATCTGTTTAATTACACATTTTCATTTCGTGTTGAGGTGACTTTGCTGTAATGCCTCTGTGTCACCACTAGATGGAACTGGAGATTGGAGCAAAGAAGGCTGCAAAAAAAACTCCACCGAATCCACGGCCAACAAAACCGTCTGCCTGTGCGACCACCTCACACACTTCGGTGTCCTCCTGGTAAGACCGCCGTGTTCCTGTGAGTGTGTGTGTCCGAGCTTTCCTCACACACCTGTCACACTAACGTCCTGGCACGGGCGCCGCATACATGTCACGTTGTGTGGATCCTTTCATGTTTTTGTTGTGGTCATGATGGTCTCCATAGTTGCCCTCTGGCCTTCTTTGTTGTTCATGTGCATTTCCTTCATTCATGTAGTCGTTGCCGTCTCTCTCTTAAGGACATCTCTCAGACTTCGCCCTCCATCGATGAAAAGAACAACAATATCCTGACCTTCATCAGCTACATCGGCTGCGGGATCTCCGCCATCTTCTCTGCTGCCACGCTGCTCACGTACATCGCCTTCGAGTGAGTCCACCGTTCGGCTGCAGTATGAACCCTCCAGCTTCCAGTGCCTGGCTATCGTCTCTCCTCATCCATGTTTTCCATCAATGATGTCGTTGTTTTTTGGTGACAAAAGCGAGTCAGTCTGTAAAAGCAGAACTACACAAAGTGTTGGAAGACAGTCTAGATTTCCATCATGTGTAGTTTCCTTGAGTTGTTCCTCCCAGAGTGTGAAACACCGCTGCTCTGTCGGAGCTGATGGTGTCTCACAGATGTGCACGACATGTCCTTTGGCTCCAGTGCTGTGACCTCTGGGTTTGCAGTAAAAGCAGCATGGATCGCTCTCTTTCAGCTCTTAAAAAGCTGCATTAAGCTTGTAAAAGCACTTTGCAGAGACAGAAGGACTAAAACAGTGTGATATAAATGCCACTCCTTTGTTTATCTTGGCTTCGCATTTAAATCCCAGAGCCAAGCATCACTGTTCAAAGTGCAGGCTGTTTATACAGAATCTGTTTAAACCCAAACCGTCATCTTTCCCGGGTTTACATGAGTGCAAACGACACTAATCAGCAGAGCCTGTTGTCCCAGGTGTGAACACCTGTACTCCGAAAAGGAGGCATGGGATGGTGCGGAGGACAGAGGGTTGCGTGCATCACTGTTATCACTTTTATCAGTGATGTCAGTGATGCATGAATAAAGACGTTTAGTGTGTTTTTAGCTCTGTGTTGGGTAAATGGAGCGCACATGGGTCACGCTCACGGTGCTCTGAAGGCTTTCAGCTCGAATGTTGTGAATCACCAATAAATTTCAAAGTCACAGAAAAATTTGGAGCAGGAAACCCGAGAGAAACTTGAGAAACTCTCAGCTACTGCATGCGGCTTTGACTTGAATGAGAATATTCGGAAAAAACTGCAGCAAATATATTTCTCGACAATATCAGAATGTAACCACGCAGAAATTTGTGCTTTCCTCCTCTTGTCCTTACAGGAAACTGCGACGTGACTACCCGTCAAAGATCCTGATGAACCTCAGCACATCTCTGCTGTTTCTCAACATGGTGTTCCTGCTGGACAGCTGGCTGAGCACCATGAAAAACGATGGGCTGTGTAAGGCTGTGGCCATTTTTCTCCACTACTTTCTGCTGACCTCCTTCACCTGGATGGGGCTAGAATCGGTCCATATGTACATCGCTCTGGTCAAAGTCTTTAACACCTACATCCGCCGGTACATCCTGAAGTTCTGCATCGTTGGGTGGGGTGAGTCGCCCACACAGACCCACAAAGACAACAAAAGATCATGAATAAAGTAAAAGTGTCCAACATGGTTTAGCATTTCTCTGCATCAAGAATAATTTATGATTAATAATTACTGAAGCTCCTACTGTTGTGCACAAGTCAAGTCTTCGTTTGGAGGTGGATTTGGTCGGGAACTCTGTGAAGCTGCGGGTGTCTCAGTCCAAAAACACACAGCACAGCTTCAGCTTCATATCATTCCTGTTGAATATGATTAATAATCTCTTACAGACAGGTCTAAGTGCATGTAAACCTTTTACTATCCTGAACAGATGTGCACCAGCGTACCAAACATTCCTCCGAGAAAATATCTTCTGAGATTTATATCATCCTCCTGAGATTGGAGATGCAATTTTAATTTCTATGAGCTGTTTGGGATTAAATGGCGCTGATATGCACAAAAAAATTAACTAAAAACAGGAGGCCGTTACCTCGTTAGATAATTGTTGAATACTTTTCTGTCTTGATATGAGGACGTGGGTTTAATTTACAAGATAAAACAGTTTGATGCCATTTCAGTCTGTGATTGTGATGCAAGTATAAGAGACCCGGGAGACTGACGTTAACGTGCGGACGGCGTGCTTTGTGTGTTCCAGGTCTTCCTGCTGTGCTGGTTGTGATTGTCGCTGCGGTGGAAAAAGACGCATACAAAGCAGTAGAATACAAAGGAGGGTCAAAGTTGTAAGTGTGCCCAGAATCTCAATAACAGGTCTACAAACCACGTCACTAAATATGGACGTGATGATTTCTTGTCAGAAAAATCAGGATTTGATTAAGTCACTGAATAACTCATTTATCAGAGTGTTGCTTAATCAGTCAGTTAGCTAACAAAAGAAAAGCCTTGTTACATGCAGGCGTCATCGTTAGCACAACTGCTCCACGGTGCCAAGTTTATGATGAAAGGACAACGAGTTGTTCAGGATTCGAGTTAAAAACTGCTGTGTGCATGGCGCTGACGTGCTTGAGCTCCTGCAGCTGATTCTGTCTGTTATCCTGCAAAACTCCCAAAAACGATCAAACTGAACAGCTGCACAAAATCTCACCTTAAGCAACCCTCAGTCCTAACACTCAGAGCAGGGTTTGCTATAACGGGATGACCAGTGCACTTTCACTTCGTTTTAGTTTACTGCATCGCAAATTGATTAAGGCTGGATTTAGTTTCATTATAATAAAGTGGCTAATGTGTGAAAAAACCTTAAATCCCTCTTTAATACTTTGAACGGGCATGTGTGTGTTTCCTTGTCAGCTGCTGGATTACCAATGAAGCCGTCTTCTACACCACCTGCGTCGGTTACTTCTGCCTGGTGTTTCTGCTCAACATGGCCATGTTTGTCGTGGTGATGCTGCAGATCTGCGGACGCAACGGCAAACGCAGCAACCGCACGCTGCGGAAAGAGGTCTGTACTCATGCCCAGTGATCTGGACTAAGACTGTTTCATGATTTAAAAAAACTTTCTGTCGGTTGTAATAACTCTCTGAATTAAAAGTTAACCCTGACATTCCTGCAATATAATAACAACCATATCATAACAGGTGTCGGCAGCCTTAAGGCTCTGTCAGAGACAGAGGAAAGAGTTACTGTACACCATTAATGAAGTTTCTCATGTCTGCTTCTGGAAAAGGAAGTAAACTAAGGAGACAAGGAAAGGAGGGAACGTTTAACGCTTTAAAATTCTCTCCTGCTATGATCCAGGTTCTCCGAAACCTACGGAGCGCCATCAGCCTCACCTTCCTGCTGGGAATGACCTGGGGGTTTGCTTTCTTTGCCTGGGGACCGGTCAAGCTGACGTTCATGTACCTCTTCTCCATCTTCAACTCGCTGCAAGGTGAAGTGACCGCATAGCGTGATAGTGTGAACATGTTTAATCCGTGTGCTGAGTTGTGTTATGTGTAAAGATAAAAGGTTATAGAGCAGGTTTGTGCAGAGGCGATAACTGTAAAGTGACCCAAGCAGTTATTTTTACCTGTCAGCAGGTCTGCTGTGGTAGAATAACTCATTCTGTTTCTATCTGTCTGTTTTCAGGCCTCTTCATATTTATTTTCCACTGCGCCCTGAAAGAAAATGTGCAGAAGCAGTGGAAGAGATACCTCTGCTGTGGCCGATTCAAGCTGTCAGACAACTCAGGTATCCCATCTGTCTGTCTGCCTTTTTCAGGTCAAGGCCAGTTCACGTCTCCCCTCTCAGGTCTGTCTGCCGGACCCCAGAGAGGTTCCCACGGCAGCATAAAAAAAAGAAATAAAAGGACGTTTTATTAAAAATATAAAAGCTAAGTCGCCACGGCTTCATAGGTAATAAAAAAGATAAACCCAGGAACTCCTCCAGGTGCGCTCAGTCTCAGGATGTGCTGTCCGGGTGCCATTTCATTTAAGAGAAATCACTGAGTTTCACTTGATGCCAAAAAATTACTGTGCAAAAGTCTCCAACCACAGATAAAGTTTGGCTTGGAAAATAGAAAATAGATGCATAAATACACAGAAATACAACCTGGAGAGCTGGATGTTTGCCTGTTTCGGACATCAGAGGCAGATACTATTCATCTTCTTTTAAAACAGGTTCTTTCCTCAGATGTCTGTCATGTGTAGACATGACACTGATTCATGACTTTAAGCAGGCGAAAGATCCAGTATTTACTGACTGTTATCAGTCGTGTCCTGAAAAGTCCTCTTTACGTGATTGAACTCACAAATCCAAAGAACTCCACTTTAGTGCCAGCAGTGCTTTTATGAAAGGAGAGAGAGGATGGATGCTCCAGCCCTTGCTTCGCTTTAACATGTGAAGGTTTTCAGTGAGTGAACACGTCTTTCACGTGGACGTGTGTGAGATCCGTTTATTCACTTATACAGAAACATCTCTGAATGTTTCAGCCGAAACATGTTTGGAAAGAAACAACTCAAAACGAAGCTTTATTTAATTTATTTTTCATTTGATAAAAATCCAGATTATGATGACTTTTTAAACTTGTTGGAATGAGTTCATGATACATGTTTGTGTTAAAGCCAAAATCTCTCAGTTCAGGTTCCCTAAAAACATCCTGAGAAGCTGTGAAAGTAAAGGTTAGACCTGCTTTTTTATGTTCTGCTGGCAACTCTTCAGTTTGATGGGACAGGATTTTCCTTTTCTCTGTTTTGGCAACAGTTGGATGGGTTATCAAAACCACAGATTATGTTTCTTTCATTGGAGAATTATTTAACTGGAAAAAGAAGGAATCATTTGTAATGGTTTCATCCACCTGTCCACATTCTTTCCAGGCCAGCTGAATTTAAACAGGTGTTGTTGGGAATTGTTCTAAACAGCTGGAAACGGGATGTTTAAAGGTTAAATATGCATAATGACAAGATGTGTGTTATTCAAACATCCTGAACATTTTTAATCTCAGCAAATTAAACTTCAGTTGCAAAAATCCTGAAAATGGAAATAGTGCAGATATAGTTCATGTTGACTGTGAATTGTTTAGTCAAAATCTAAAGTTGAACATGTTCCTCTAGAAGAAAAATGTGGAGAATTATTAGAGAGGTCCAGTAATTGTGTCTTACACTGAACTTCAGTAAGAGTGAGGAACATTAACATTGAAGAAAAAACCCTACAACACATTGTGTCCCACTGATATCTTCTCTAAAAATCTGGAGATTATTGATTGTTTCTCGCGTGCAGACTGGAGTAAGACAGCTACCAACAACACCAAGAAGGTGAGCTCAGACAACCTGGGCAAGTCTCTGTCCTCCAGCTCCTTTGGCTCCACCACCGCCAACTGGACCTCCAAAGCTAAAGCGACGCTCAACCCGTTCAAACGACATAGTAACACAGGTGAGACCCGCTCAGAAAGGCCCTCGCAGCACAAACGCTCTCCTACAGTAATTACTTAGAGGAGACTGTGAGACCGAGAGGACATGGAAGCAAAGAGAGGAGAAACATCCAGCGTGAGTTAGTCTGAAAAGAAAACCACCACCCTGTTTAGACAGCTTGTCTGAAGTCCATTGCTCTTTGTGAAAACACCGCTGCACATACTATGCCTCAGAGCTTTACTGCTTTAATAACACTTGTATATGTTAGCATGTAGCCTATGGCAGGCATGAGTGCGTGGACCAAATGTTCCCTTTATGCTGCGCACCACTACTATGTAGTAAACAAGTTTGCATGCAGACTCCAGTGTTTTCTGTCCTGAATATGAATATGAAAGGAACTTGAATCACCCCCTACTGTGGAAGTTAGTGTAGCTTATCACAACCCCGAAGCAAAAAGGCCTGTTTGATTCCATCATAGTTATATATTATAACGTCCTGCTCAGTAACAATCTCTGTTATTAATCCACCTTTCTCCTTGAATAAATTAGAACATCCTTAAATCACTTTCACTATTTAATGAACGGGATGATCCATAATAGTTGTTCAGTGACTCGGTTTGAAGGAAAGACTTTAAGTGCCAGTTAAACCCATCTGCATGCAAACTTGACTCCACTTGAAGATCAGTTCCTTTTTTCCGTGATTGTTGCAGGTTTGTCACTGTTACCATGAAAGCCTGTGTAATATCTCCTGGTACGTGATGTTGATGTGTGTGCCTCTGTGTTTGCTGTGTAGACAGCTATTCCAGCCAGTAACAAGAATGGAGGACCAGTGGAGGTAAAGCCTAAGCCGATTAGAGGGTTGTGCTCCTGCTTCCAGCATCATGTGATCTGATCTGGGTTTCCCAAAATGCTTCTGCTCTAAAATTAATCTGGAAATCCAAATTCTAGATGATGTTTAATTTGGTGTCTTTAATCCAAAAGAGGAAAACGTTCAAAGGTTTCGCTAGCAGACATTTTGGGAAAGAGGCCACTGTGATTGTGCTGTGATTGTTTGGTTGCCATGATGTCATACACGTCCCTTGTTCCCCACCCCTGAGATACTCTGTTATAAGTGAGAGCTCAAACTCAACCCACTCATTCATATTTTGGCCTCAGGGTGCCTCGGGGTGGAGAAACAAGCGCGCCGTGTCGGGCTGCTTCCGAGCCGACATCTGCAATGTGTTTAATGATTTTGGATTTGTGTGAATTTGTAATAAGAGCACAGTAACACCAGGCTAACTCTGTGGTTCACATTAGAGTGAGTAACTGATGTGATTTCTTGTGTTTGTTCATTAAATTAACACCAAATGTTGAGGATGTCAAACACTCTGTTTGAGTCCCAACATTACACGATGCGACTGACTCCCAAAGAGACTGAACCTCTCTCTCTCTCTCTCTCTCTCTCTCTCTTACTGATTGTGATCACATTAAACATCTGCTCTCAAAATCAGAGAGGTGCAACACTTCCTACAGTTTAATTACTTTAGGCACAATTGTATAATATCCCCAAACCATTTGTGGAAGGCTCTGACACTCATCCATGGAGTAGAATAAGCACGTTCCAGCAGGCAGAACTCGAATGTGTTTTCTAAGGATATTAAAGCTATTACTTCTTTATATATTTAAGCTGTGACAGAGACTGTGAACAACCACAGTTGAGTATAACCCACAGATTAGCACAAATTAACACAAAATTAACCCAAAGAACAAGCTTGATATTTGAAATTGCAGTAATATAATTACAAGAGGAGTCACAGAAACTACAGTCACCAGTTTTTTTTACTCTTAAAAGTGGAAAATCTAATGTTTGTTTTTTAACTAATTATCCTAGATGGTTAACATGGGCTTCGGTGCAGTGAATGATGTATTGATTCCAGGTTAACTCCAGGTTAGCTTGAGTAGATGGACGGGGTCTGGTTATACTGGTTATACTACTGGTTGTGTCTAAAAAAAAAAATCGGTGTGTGCAAGATGGTGCAATATGGAAACACTTGGCCGTCTTTGTTAAATCCAAGAGAAGTCAGACAGCGTAACGTTTTGGCTGCCCGACTCTGATGACTTAACTCATGTGAGCGTACAATAACGTTAAACAGCGAGGTTCAAGTCGTTCATCAAGTTATTTCTAATGTTATTGTTTGACTGTGGTTTACAGTTCTAGGCTAACCCCTGTCAGCTTGCCACATATCAGCTATAATAGCTATATTGGCCATTTGGAGTAACTTTATATTGCGTTTGCAACTAGCATTGCATTTAAGATTATTTGAGGCTAAAGGTGACATGAATAAACTTTTTATGTTGGCCACTTCAGATAGATCCATAATCCTTGATGTTATTGATGTCGTCAAAAACTCAGTTCATTCCACGACATGCGAGCCACGCCTGTTTCTGAATTTCCAGAATGAAAATAACTGCAAGTCCATCGCAGATACTAAGATTAAGTAAGGATTAAGTAAAGGACTCTAACGTATGAGAGTGGGGGAGGAGGAGCTTTGGACAGTGAGGGGAAAGAGAGGAGATTTGCAGGAGGAAGCTTTCAGTTTCCAATTTCTTGGTTCACCTTTTTCTAATGTTACACAATTGCAGCTTTAAATGCTAACGTGCATGCTCAACAGGTTTGATTTTATGCTCCCTCTGTGCCTCCCCTCCCTCTGCCAGTCAGAAGATTAGGAAACTTTTCAGTTGGACATGTCCTTTCACTTTTCACTCTCACATGATCTGCGACAGCCAAAAGGAATGACTAATGTAATTCCAGCTGTAGTTTAACTCTGTGTACATGATGTGTTTAGTGTTATGGACTGAATCCATCTTTATGTAATTTACTGTGTTTCCATGTGAAACAAAAAGACCCAAAGCAATCTTAAAACCACAGGAGAAGTAATTTGTCTGTAACAAATTTCACAACATGTTGTTTTGTTCCCACTAACATTAAAAAAAATCTGGTTCGTTTTGACCGCTTTATAGATGTCACTGTTCTCTGGGCTGATTTGGCAGTCCTGAAATCTGGACTTCCCCTTCTCTCGAGCACAGCGTACTCCCTGTGCGGCCATTGTGTCAGTCAGAGTCAGCCCGAATGGCAAGGGTAAAGTTGAACAGGTAAAGTGTCTCAGCCGCTGCATTATATCTCCAGGTGAGCTGAGAGAACAGGTGAGGAGAGATCATTAGTCTCTTTGGGAGTTGAGGTTTTCGCCAAAGCTGTGATGTCAGAGTTTCTCCTTCAAACTGGCCACATTCACTCTGAGCTCAATTAGTACTCTTACTTTCATTCCCAGCATTCCCAGCCTCCTCTCCACAGACAGCTGGGACTGTGTGGAACTGAAGAACACGCAGAGCCTTAATGGAAAGAATGAAAAGAAGTTTTTTCCCTTTAATGCCAGCAACATGTTTTAAAAAGCTGAGGCTCTGAGACTTTTTCTTACTAAAACGAGCAGGAGAACAACGTTGTCTGCATGGAGTTCACTGCTGACTCGTGCGGTGAACTCAGAACCGTCCGTGCTGAATCTGTGTGCAGAACAGAGCTGATGATTTAAACCCCAGTAGTCAGGAGCTGAAGAGTGAATGGAGCCACTTTAAAGGTTACTGTTGTTCAGGGAAAAGTGCTTTCTGGAACATCTTTCAGACAGTCAACAAATATCTTTCATGGAAGACGCTTTGGGGAATCCACTCATGAATGATGCTGAATGATGCTGAATGTTGCCTTAGCTGTTGCCTCATGGTTCCTGTTCAGGTTGTGTGCTTTACTTTGGGGACCTGACACGTACTTTGGGGATCATGCTGCTCCATTTGTGTCAGCATAGTGATCTGTCTTGGTGTGTTTGACCCACAGGAACTGATGCACATGGAAGCTCCAAACAGGATATTTCTCTCACTCTGTGATGGTCACACACACACGTGTGGTTGAAATCTCATATACACATTCCCTTACACACTTCACCACATTATTGCATAAATGCTTTGCAAGCTACAGACCTATGAGTCAAACGCCAAGTCCAACCTTCCATCCAGCACGCTGCCAATCCTTTTATTTATGACCTTCATCGATATGTCTCATTGCGTCCCTGCACGATTAGATCATCCCTTAAACCGCTTGGAAAATACTGTCATCGTGCACAGTAGTCTACACTGGTGAAAAATTTGGACCCTGTTCTGGATTCAAACCAAACCCAGGACACATAAATCAATTATTTCAAAATAGAATAATAAGCAAAACTGAACATGTGGGACTAAAGCAGACCCAAAATGAGCATGGTGTTCCACCAAGATAATCGGTTCATGACTCCCACACCCATCTTATCTTGATGCTTGACTATATAATCACAGCTGACAGTGTAATGAGATGTAGTGGCCCCATCACACTCCATCATGCTGTGCTGCAGTCAGTATTTTATTATCTTCCAGTAAGAGAAAAAACGGTTATTAGACATTTGTCACGACAGAGGATGAAATCATTTGGAGTGGCAGTGTTTCAAAGTTTAAAGCCATCAAACCTGCGGCTGTGTGGACCCCCTGAAATATATTTCACTGTCTCTCCTTTACAGTACTGGAAAAACACAGTGAACCATGTCCTTGAACAGCTTGGCTGAGCACCAGCTAACGGGAGTTTCATTACTATGACCATAATTATTATGCTAGCCCATAATTATTCATACCCCTGGCATATTTTGACCTAAAGTTATTTTTATTCAACCAGCAAGGGGGTTTTTTTGACCAGAAATGACAAAGGTGTTTCCCAAAAGATCATAAGACGATGTACAAGAGGAATCATTGTGGAAAAAAAATTTGAGCAAAAGGTTTCTTGTCCAGAATTATTCATACCCTTCTCAGTAATCAATACATAAGCCTTTATTGGCTAGCAATCAAACGCTAATTGCAGACCAGCTTTTTTGCACATCTACACAGGCATTTTTGCCCACTCGTCTTTAGCAGTGAGCTCCAAATCCTTCAGGCTGGAGGGTCTTCTTGCCATCACCCTGATCTTTAGCTCCCT